GAGTCCACACTGGCTTGTCAGACCCAGGCTCTAGGTGAACCACAGTATCAAGGTCTGGAGCCAAATAGAGGAGAGAAATGCAGGTGCCATTTCCTGAATTCTGAACACTGTCACCGGCGCGTGCTTACTCCTCCACCATCTGGCCTCTAGGGGGCACTGCTCTCTCCTTACCGGTCTGGCCTAAGGGTGACCACCCAGTCCCTCGCTTATCTGAGAAAGGCTGAACATTCAAGTGCACGTCACTAAAGGCTTAGGAGTACCAAGAAAAAGAAAGATAAGGAAGCCCGTGAATATAGAAAAGATGATCAACAAAGGCCTTGCATCTGCGTCTGGTTAGATCCCCCTTACCCAGTAGCAGAGGGGGTGCCCAGGGAGTTCTCAACCCCCAGCCAGGCTCTGTGTTTTCATTTCCTCTCATCCTTTCCGAAGCAGGGGTGGGGTGGAATCGTGGGAGAACACACCTTTTGACCAAGCAATTCAACTTTTAGGAGTCTACCCTACAGAAAAAGATGTATTCAAGGATGCTGACTGCAGGCCTGTTTATGATATTAAAATAGCTGTGTGTGTGTGTGTGTGTGTGTGTGTGTGTGTGATATATTTAACATAAAAACAGGTCTGGAAGCATATGGTCCAAACAACACTTACCTCCACAGAAGGGAAGGGGGAAAGAAGAGAAACTTTCCTTTGCCTCTGCTCATTTTATATACTTCTGCTTAGTTTGATTTTTGTTTTTTTACTATTTCCAGCACATATTCATTTGTAAATTATAGAATATGTCATTTTTATTTATTTATTTATTTTTATCCTCATCCGAGGACATCTTTCCAGTTTTTGTTCAGATAGAGGAAGGGAGAGAGAGGAAGAGAGAGAGAAACATTGATGTGAAAGGGACACATCAAGGGGCTGCCTCCCACACGCACGACCCAACCAGGGCCGGGGACAAACTGCAACTAAGGTACGTGCCCTTAGTGGGAACCGAACGTGGGTCTCTCTGGACCACAGGCCGACGCTCTCACCGCTGAGCCAAACCGGCCAGGGCTAGAATATGTCATTTTTAAATAACACAAAATTACATCTTACAAAGTTTTGGAAGTTAGAGGAATGGACCTGATGAAGTCTGATGCCGGAGATTGGTAGGGATGTTAATCCTTACGGTAATTTTACACCCCCTCCCCACCCCCCACCCCCGGTTTTTAGCAGTCTGGAGGCACGCCTGGAGGAAGTGATGTAGAATGGACCCCGGAGAAGGTGGTGAGTTAAGGTGCCAGGGCTCAGTAGTTATTCTAAGCATTTGACATCAGTTAGTCCATTTAATCCCTGTGAGGTAGATACGATTAATCCTAGATTTACAAGGGGAAAAGCTGCTCAGAGAAAAGAGGAACAGCAGGGCTGGGTTCAGACCTCAGGATGCAAGTGCTCTCCTCTTTTGGCTGCTTCCAGCCCACTTCAGTGGAGAATGCAAGGGGAGGAGTAGGAAACTGGGTGCCGTTGGCACAGTCTTTGAATGAGAACCCCCAGCTAGAGAAGGAAGTAAAGCCAGGAGGGAGATGGTTGTATGAAGGGCTAGCTTAGGTGGAAGAGGTGTAGAATTGGACAAGGTTTGGATTTAGATGAACAAAGCTGTGTGGTACTGGGCATTTTCATGTCTCTAGTGAACTGGTGAGGTGGGCTGTGAGGGCTGAGGAGTCTCCTGTGAATGGACGGTGGTAGCGGGGTGGGGGCTGGGCACAGGCTGGCATCTATTCCTTGGTTTGACTCCTTTCCCAGGCCCACTGACATCATGGTGAGTCCTAGGAGTAAGAACTGCAGCCAACATTCAACTACAACTCTGAGTCATGTGGGGGTCAAGCCGCTCTATTTGGGGATCCTCGCACCCAGGGGGAATGGGTTGGGTGGGGTGTATTCTGTGTGCCACAGAGCTTTGAAGTGCCCACATAGCTGGCATAGTGGGGATTCCTCCCCTCCAGCAGGACTGGGATCATTGAACTCCTGAGACACCTCCAAGTGGTGGGATTCTTTGTAGGGGCCTGGGAGTCCCAGGCGAGCTGGTGGGTGGCACATCGGTTACTTTTGTTAGTGTGAGCTCTTTCTTGTCCACTGTTGCTGAGGCCTGGGGACTGGTTTCACAGGGTAGAGAAGTATTCAGGGACCTCAAGGTGCAGGTTATATCGCCAGGGAAGGAGGGGTGGAGTGGAATTGATGTCAGGTGGTTAAAGCTGAGATGGGGGCCTGTGATTTCTGGAGTGTCCCAGGCTAAGTTTCTGAGTATGAAAAAAGTGTGTGTGTGTTAGGAGTTGCTCTTTGTGACCCCAGAAGCAGGCAGATGACTTCTACCTTTCCTGTCTGTTCCTATATCATTCATAGTCTGAGGTCTCTAAGTCTAGGGACCCCAAATTGTAGACATGGAATCAGTCAGTGCTGCTATCCAGCAGTTCTCTGGGAACAGAGAGGGTAAGTGACCAGCTTGGGATGGCACAGGGCAGCCCAGGGGGTCAGTGAGGTGGGGGTGGAGAAAAGCATCTTCTCCCTCCAGATTAGCACAGGGCTCAAGGATTTCCAAGGAGAGGCCTGGGTGCCTGTGAGGGGAGGGCCCAGAGGGTTGGAGCAGCCTGGAGCCACAGGGGGAGGCAAGGTCAGTAGGAATCATCAAGGCCGGCTTCTCAGCAAGGCGGGGAGCGTAGGACAGAGGGTGTGTGGTAGACTTCCATGCACTCTGGTGGTTCAAAGCGTTTTTCTTCATGAATTACTCTTTATTTAAGAGTCCAGACTTTGCCTGGAACAATTATCTTCTAAAATATGCACAACAAAGGTAGAAAACACCCTACAATTGAGGTGGAATAATGGGTGATCGTAAAAATCATTTTCCCAGACATCTTCATTGACCCACCGCTACTTTTATAAGGCTCAGAGGCATAAATATTACTATTGCTCAATGTACTTCAACTTGATAATGGAGTCACATGCTAGTTGTTCCTGCCAGCTCAGCTAGTAATAAAGGTGAACAGCACAAGCTGCTTTTGGGTTCCTGGACTTTCTGCTCCGCTGCTGTCGGGGAACCACCTGTGCACACCTCACTTCCAACCTCAGCTGGAGGACTGAGGCTTGAGGGGCGCCACGGCTGTGGATCCCAGGGGCCCCTGGAGCCTGAGCCACCACCAGAGACCCAGCACGTGAGCTGTGCTGCAATCCCAGCTCTGCAGCAGGGACTTCAGCCCAGAGCTCGCCTACAGGTCTTTAGAGCAGCCAGATGGAGGCCGTATCATGGCTGGAAACTCCAAGTCTCTCCAGGGCCACGTTAGGAAAGGCGTGGACTGTAGGAGGGGAAAGGAAGGGACCAGCCAAGTGGAGGTCCCCGTGGAGCCACAGTCGCAGGGAGGGGGTGGGTCCGAGGTCTGCCACTCTGGGGTACCACATTATAGACACTCCAGGTGGTGGCCCTCCAGGCACAAAGAGGTTAAAGTGACTTGCCCAGGGTCACACAGCACGTAGGTCAAGGGGTGCATGGGGGTACAACGTGGAGTCTTCATAGGTCTCTCCCTGAACGGCAGAGGCCTGGCTCTGCTCCTGCAAGCAGGATGCGCTTGGAGTCTCCAAGCGGGACCAGTCCTGTGGTTAAAATGAGAGGAAGGCCGGGGTGGGGGGTTGGGAGAGGAGCCTGCCACAGAGGTAGCTTCTCAGCACTGCAGCCTCCCCGTTGCAGGGGCTCCAGGGCTTGGCGCCAGGGGTTAGTGCGGCACCCTCCCGGCCCTCACCGCCACCGCAAACGGGGGTCCTTCCACGGGCCACTTTAAGGACTCAGAGATAGTCCTTAGAGCTGGGAATCTGAACCCCGCTGATCTTGCTGCTGGTCCAAAGTCTGTGTGCCAGCCCCCAAACATCAGAGTGTTGAGTCAGTCAAGTTTATTGATGGAGAAGGCGCCAAGGATCCGGGAGCCCTTGGAGCTCCTCAAATCCATCGTAAGAAAGCACAGAATTCGGGCTTCTTTTAGGTCCGGGAAATTGGAAAACGGGAGGGGCTGTCTGTGCCAAACTCAAGCAAACAAGACGGAGTCGGAGAGACGGACTGTTTCCCTGTTCCGATCAGGGTCTGGGTGGCTCGAGGTCACAACCCTCGCCCACGCGGCGGCCGGGCGGCTCGTCCTTGGGCGAGTCCCTTCCCCTCTGCAGGCAGCGCCCGGAGCCCGCCCCCCGCGGCCGCGCATGCCCAGTGGCGGCGGCGCGAGGAGGCGCCCAGGTGCTTCGCGTTGACGCCAGCTGCCGGGTGGCGGCCGCGCGGGCGGGGCGGGGCGTGCGCCTTCGAAACCCGGCGCCGCGCGGACCGGAGCCCCGCTGCCCGCGGCTGCTGGCGAGCGCGTCCGCCCCGGCGGTTCTCGACGGCGCGGCCGGGCCGGCGGGACCCGCTCTGTCTGCCGCTCCCCGGGGCGGCGCGGCCTCCGCGCCCCGACGGGCATCGCGCAGCCCCCAGCCCTCAGGGCGCTCGGGCCGGCGCGGTTCTCGGGGCTGGGGGCCCGGCGGGCGGAGCAGCGAGGCCGGGCGGGCGGGCGGATCTCCTCCCCCTCGGTCCCCGGAAGCGCGGCCGCGGCGAGCGGGCGATGTGAGGGCGGCCGGCGGCCAGCGCCTTCCGAAGGGCATGTTCGGAGGGGCGGCCGCGGCGCGCCGCCCGCCCCCGAGCGCCCTCCGCGCCGCCGCCGCCGCGCCCGCGCCGCGATAAAAGGGGGGGCCGCGCTTCCTGCCGGGAGACCCCGCTCGCCGCCCCGCCGCCCGCCTGCGATGACACGGCGCCCGCGGCGGCCCCGAGGCGCCGGGCGGGCCGTTTGCTGACCGGTTAACGGCCGCCCGCCAGCGAGTCCGCGGAGCCGCGCCGGCATGGGCTGCACCCCGAGCACCCACATTTTCGAAAGCCGGGCTGTGTGCCCCGGCTGCGAAGAGGCCGAGGCCGCGCCGGGCGGGCCGCGCCTCCCTGCCAGCTCGGGGACCACCTCCTCGGCCGAGGACCGCGGCGCCGTCCGCGGGGAGCCCCAGGCTCGCGGCGGCCCCAGCGAGAAGGTAAGGGGCGCCGGGCGGGCGGAAACTGGCCCTCGGGGCCGGGCGGGCTGGCCTCCGGGCCGCGGTGCCCAGGGCCCGGCTCTGGGCACTTGGCGGACGTTCGCAGCCCGTCTGGCCGGGCAGCGTGCCCGGGAGGACCGGCCGGGGCCCCGCGCCCCGATTTAGCGGCGTTGTGGCAGGGACGCCGTCCGAGTTTTCGGGGCGCATCCGACGTCCGGAGCCTCTGGGCCCTCTGTCAGCTGGAGGCGCTCGAGTCCGTTCCCTCCCACCGAGCGGGCATGGGGAGCCCCGGAACCCTGAATCAGCGTGAGCCTCGGTCTCCCGGAGGGGGCAGGGGGCGTGCCGGACCCTCCCGCCCCGTGGCGGTTCCCTTTGCTCGGGCTTCACGTGTCTGAGGTTCGGATTTCCCAGCCTGGGTGTCTTTAAAGTGCACGTCATACAGAGTGTGAGCAGAAACGCGGCGTTGGAAGCATTCGCCAGAGCAAAGTGAATTTTCGATGACGCAGTCTTGCTCGGGGGGCACATTTGTGACTTTTTAAATTTTCTTTACCTTGCATTTCTTTTCCAGCGCGTATTGCCTTGGCTATGTCTTTTTGTATTTTCCTTTTCTTTCTTTCTTTTTTTTTTTCTTCCAATCCTCACCTGAGGATGTTTTTTCCTTTTTTTAAAATCTTCAGATAGCGTTTGGGGGGAGTAGGGGGACATCGTCATGAGAGAGACACATGGATTGGCTGCCTCCTGCATGACCCGACCAGGGCCAGGGACCGAACCGCCACCGAGGGACGTGCCCTTGCCTGGAATCGAACCCGAGACTCTTTGGTCCACGGGCCGACGATCTAACCACAAGCCAAACCGGCCAGAGCTATGTTTTTTTTCTTTTTTTTTAATTTTAATTTTTATTCTTTTGTTGATTTTAGAGAGACAGGAAGGGAAAGGGAGAGAGAGAAACAGTGATGAGAGAGAACATCCATTTGATTGCTTCCTGCGTGCCCCCCACTTGGGGATCGGGCCCACAACCTGGGCATGTGCCCTGACCGGGAATCGAACCGGCGACCCCTTGGTGCAGGGGTCGATGCTCAAGCACTGAGCCCCACCAGCCGGGCACCTTGGCTATGTTTTGTCAAAGTTTCTGGGGCTTAATCTTTGATAAGTTTTTTTTGTTTGTTTGTTTTTTAGAATGATGATTTTTTTTTAAAGAAAAAAAAAAGTTCAATAGGGCACACAGTGGCAGTTTTCCAATTCTCTGATTTTAAATATTACAGCCGGAATCTGTGTTGTTTTATGTTTTAGTAAACTAGGGAAGACAGATCAGTGTGTATGGCCGCAGGTGGCTGAAGTTCATCCCTCTCACTGCTGCTGCTTGAGTCTTTTGGGAACTGAACCTGCTTTTCTTTTTTTTTTTTTTTTACTGAGGACTGCTACATCTCCCAAGTTTGAGAGCTATAGTTTGGTTCATTTTCTGTCTTAAATTTGTGTCAGTAGTCATAATACTTTTTCTATATGGAAGTGAAAAGTCTTCTTCAGTATTGCGTAACATAGATGAAGTGATTTCCCCCCACCCCTCCTGTGCTCCATGTGAAAACTCACCTTTTTCTCCTTATCAAGAAGTTGGGTTCTTTCTATAGACTTCTTCAATTACCCACACCAGTAATGGTTTTAGACTATTAACCCAAGCTGCTCTAAATATCAGCGTAATGCTTATACATTAAGCCTAGCTAAGTGGCTTAAAAAATAAAGCATTGCACAAGTGAGGTTGAATATGGAAATTTTTAACAGCTTTTAAGTTTTTTGGTCCAAGTCTAATATCAGTTATCTTGCACTGGCTAATATTAAGCTTCTAGGTCACTAAAGTAGCCTTTTTAGAAAGAGGCCTTTGGCCCTGGCCGGTTTTGCTCAATGGTTAGAACATCAGTCCCGAGAGACCTGGGTTCAATTCCCGCTAAGGGCACGTACCTTGGTTGCAGTTTGTCCCCAGCCCTGGTTGGTCGTGTGGGGGGCAGTCACTCGATGTGTCCCTTTCACATTGATGTTTCTCTCTCTCTCTTCCTCTCTCTACCTCCCACTCTATCTGAGCAAAAAAATGTCCTCGGGTGAGGATTTAAAAAATAATAAAATAGAAAGAGGCCTTTGTGTCTTATTTGCCTTTTTTATGGTGATGTGGATGTCCTAAAATTCACCTAGGTGTCTTGTACATCTCCAGTGCAACAAGGTACTCTTATATGTTATCCACAGTGCCCGGATGTCTCCTGAGTTTCTAAGAGTCTTAAATATTCTGTCCTACTGTCAGACCATTGTCTTGATTTGGGTCCCACGAAAGTACATTTACCATAAAAGTACATTTACAGTGCTTAATCCAGTGACATGCATATAGTAGGTGCTAAATAAATGTTTGCTGGATTTGTTATTTTATTGTTAACTGAATGATGAAACTTTTCCAGTCACTGAATTTGATTCTGTAAACCCTCCAATATAGGCGTTGAGACTATATTATATTATATCCAGAGGAGGAGTCAAATGATAAGTAACAACACCACAACCACAGAAATGTTAGTCTTCTGCTTGTAATTCACGAAATGTATATGTTGATACCAAATCTCAGTTACAGGTATTTATTATTAGACATGTAGAGGCAAATACTAGCCTTTTTTTTTGTTGCTGTTTAATATTGTTTCTTTAAGGGAATGTATTAAATATACTCTGGAAATTTAAAGATTCATGGTTAGAGAAGAAGATAAGCATCCAGCAATTTAGCAAAATCATATTATTTTACAGTTAATTTGAGTTCCTTTCATTAATCTATCAAGATCCAATTTAGTGTATTAAAAATTCTTAAAAATATAGTAAGTCACCATATTGTTGAGTTTCAGCAAAAAATTCAGTGGGGTTGTTCTTATACTCCTATAGCATAGTAAACACCAGTTCAAAAGAATGCTTGGAAGATTGATAATTAATTGCATTTTCAGATTAATTAAGCAGCGTATCCCATACACTGTAGTGTATCCCACATGTGTTCTCTGCAGCAATTTGTGTACTCTTTTTTTTTTTTTTTTTTTTTATCCTCACCCGAGGATATTTTTCCACTTTTTGTACAGATAGAGTGGGAGGGAGAGAGAGGAAGGGAGAGAGAGAGAAACATCGACGTGAAGGGACACATCGAGTGGCTGCCACCCACACGACCAACCAGGGCCGGGGACAAACTGCAACCGAAGTACGTGCCCTTAGCGGGAACCGAACCCGGGTCTTTCCGGACCGCAGGCCGATGCTCTAACCGCTGAGCCAAACCGGCCAGGGCCAATTTGTGTACTCTTAACAAGTATTAAATGAAAAAAGGTTCATGGCTAAAACGTTTGGGAAGTACTGGCTCAGACTAAGTTCAAATTTCTTTAATGGCAGGATTTGTCACAAAACTAAATTTTCTAAAGTACGCTGTGAACCCTCAAATGGTTTAGAGCATGCAACATTCCTCAAACTTGTTTTGATTATGTAGCCCTTTTAGTGATGTGTCTTAGGCAGGCCACGTGTTGGGACATGAGAGACCCCTATTCAAAGTATGCAAAATATACTTAACAGTAAAGCTCAATAAATATAATATGCTTCTTAATGATTCCAAGGGTACTTTAGGATCTTTTAATACATTAGTCTGGGTCATCTTTATGAACTTAATTAAGTATAACTAAAAATACTCTGTTGATTAATTTTGGAAGTTATAGTCTATGTGACTACAGATGATGAATGCTGTGTTCAGTTTGAACACATAAAGTTTTGTTTTGTTTTTAATCAGGGTGAACATCAACTGTAACATTTCAGTGTTTTCTTGTCAGTCTTTGGATCTCCTCTGTTTTCCCTTTCCTTAGCTAGGACTTGATTTACCCTTGAAAGAGCCGAGCGTGGGGGAGGAGTGTCAGAGGAGACCCTGTATCTATATAGTCACCTTCCCTCCCTTTTTGCAAACACCCAAAGCACTTCCAGTGACTGATGCCCTCCCCATCCTGTGTCACTAGTCAGTTCTGCAAGATGGCAGTCATGTCTGTTTTGTTGTTCACTGCTGTAAACCACCCCCCCCCCCAATGCCTTTACAACTATTTGTTTGTTGAATTGGAGACTTTTGTGAATCGGGTTGTAGAAGTGGAAAGTCCACTCAGTTCATAAAAAATCAGAACTAGAAACCCGTTTTAACCAGAGTGGATGCTGTAGAATTTGCATTTGGTTTTGAAGAAATCTCTGGTTATTTGTACCTAGGGGATACGTCTGTTTTCTACCTTGGTGAGCAGAGTAGATTTCCCTATAAAGATTTAAGGATTAGTGCAGCTGGATAAGCAGCACAACAGGTGACAGATAATTTCATGACCATACACTAACCAAGGGTCACTGCCTACAGCACTGAGTCCTCAGATGGACTCTATTTAGTCTGTGTCTAGTCTTTGCTTCTGTCATTCTCTTTTGCTCACCTTGTTTTCTCTCTTTTTTCCACCTGCTTCCCCATGTCCCTCCCTGCTTTTCCCTGTCAGCCCACCTTCCTCCACAAAACTGGCCAAACTAACCATCTCAGTCAGCCAAAGGTGATAGTTTTTTCCAGTATTTCTGAGCTATGGAATACAATTTATTGCCTGCTCTTAATATACCAAGTGGGTTAATAAAATTTTTATATTTCCCTGACTGATTCCCCCCCACCCCCCAACTAGAGGTCATTGATTGACCCTTGGTAGATTATATGGAAGTGCAGAAAGTTTCCCTCTGAAAGTATAGTTGAGAAAATGAGACTCTCTCTCCTTCTGTTTCTGAAATAAGTGACTGTTATCTCTGGCGCTCATGGCTGTGAGTTCTCTTGTTACTGTGTACTTATGCCTTTGCCAGGCCTAGCTAGAGGTTTGGCTTTTTATATTTTCCTGAATGCCTATTATATGCATAAAATAATTTGCAGTTGTATCACTTGTTATTTTAGTGCTTAATAGTACCACTGTAATTTTAAGTCTAGTTCTTAAGATAGATGTTATAAATGT